CATCCCTGAAAAAAACATCATTCATTTCGTACTCGGACCCCCTCTCCACCCTCCGAAATGAATGGATGACGAAAATCGCATGCATATACATGTGTATGCATAGCGTCAGTCAACAGAGATTTTAGCTCCCCCCCCCGGAACGATCTTCGTTTCAGGGACGACCAAAAACTTGTGTGACCACTGACTTTCTTTCTCTGCTATCAAGCAGTATGCAGTATTTGTAACAGTAATTACTTGTCTGTGTCATGTGCATGCATTGTCTTATTTCCTTTTTAAGGCTACAGCACAACCCAGAGAACAAAATGTACGTCGCAATCAAGCTATGTCGTTGCCATCTTCTATGTGCCATGCGTTACCTGATGTGCCAGCCTGCTATGTCGGATACCGCTAACCATGCATCGACTAGGCGCCAGGCGCGAACTGATGGTGGTGGTAGTGGTGGTGGTGGTGATGAGAAGGAGAGCTCTGTGCAAGAATAACTTTGCAGTTTAGAGAGCGTGTCTGGGCAGGCGTGTATTTACCGCCATATTGCCAGGTGTGTATTTACCACCGTATTAATCAACCATGCGCTACCTGATGTACCAGCATGCTATATCGGACACCACTCACCCTGCGTCGACTAGGCGCCAGATGCGAACTGATGATGGTGGTGGTGGGAAGGAGAGCTCTGTGCCAGAGTAACTTTTCAGTTTAGAGAGCGTGTGTGGACAGGTGTGTATTTACTGCCGTATGAATCCACCACAGTACGATCAGCTGACGTTATAACTTATAAGGATGATCTCGTGCAGCGATATGATGATATTTTTTCAGTCTTTTCTAAGGACTCTCCACTGCAGCGTTTTCGTTCCACTCGAATATGGAAACGCGGAAGGTTGTTAGCACTGTGTTGAGGCAGCTATTGTTGACTTTATTCGGAATTAATTCTGTTGTATTTGCACACATTCCTGAGTGCATTGTATTAGCATCCAATGTGTGTTATCTGTGCGAGCTTCTAACCTTGTGAACATTCACCGAAGGTTTGGTTGGCGGCGCACAAGATCTTACGGGATGGCTCTTGCGGGCTCTCAGCCCTGCGTTTACTGCATAAAACATGGCAGAACAGTTCAAGCTTCAATTTAGGCCATTTCCTCACTCTGACTCCCAATATTTCACATGTGTAATAATTATAAGTATTGTAGATCCCTGGGACAGCGCCATTTTGTTAGCCAATGTTAGTCCTGAAGAAAAATTGACTTCATTGTCCTAAAGGTGAGAACAAATTGGGACTATTTGTGAAGGAAAACTTTGGAAAATGCAATTTCGAATGTAAGTCATTTCGTTTATCTGGATTCGTCCAATATTTCACAAATGTGCAATATGAGTATTGTAGATCACTGGGACAGGGCCACTTAGTCTGTCAAAGTTAGTCATGAGGAAAAAATTATTTCATTGCCCTAAAGGTGAGAACAAATTGGGACTATTTGTGAAGGAAAACTTTGGAAATATAATTTCGAATGTAAGTCATTTCGTTTATCTGGATTCGTCCAATATTTCACAAATGTGCAATATAAGTATTGTAGATCACTGGGACAGGGCAACTTAGTCTGTCAAGGTTAGTCATGTGGAAAGAATTTACTTCATTGCCCTAAAGGTGAGAAAATATTGAGGCAATTTGTAAAGAAAGGATTACCTCATCTTAGGTGGTCAAAGTGCCTCAGAGTTCGAGTGGCAGTGCAAAGCCAGTGAGTAAGCCAGTACAGTGAACAAGTGAACTCCTCAGCGATGGCCACAGATGGCTGTATTTCGGCAATGGAGATCGAAAGTTTGACCCGTGACAATTGTTCTCGAAAGGACGAAGACTACGATTTCTCGCTATGTACGGATTTCCCGCGCGCTATGACCTATGGCTATGGCTATGTACGGACTTGTCCCACACCGAGCAGGTCGTAATATTTTGAATCGTTGAGTCGATCATGGTTGTGCACAAGTGATGCGCGTGTCGCCTCCCGGGTCTATACGACTCCCTGATCGCCATCATTAATGTTGGGCATCAATGTCCGTTTGGTTTGCGATGTAAAATAAAACTTCAAACAAACATGGCCATGGGCATGGGTCCTAGTACAGAGCCCTGCGGCACACCACATGTGCACAGTACAGTTCTGCCCAGTCGGGAGCCCATACGAACGCGTTGATGGCGCCCAGACAGATGAGATAGTCCCGAAACCATTTCAGGGCTGTGCCGGAGATAGTAGTTAGTTCAGAGTTCCTGATGCCAGTGATGGCAAATAGAAGACATACATGTTCATTTGCAGAAACTGCCCCGCATTGAGACCATCCATTCTAGAACTAATCCATTGCCAATGAACATGCTATAATATGCGGGTACATACTAAATACTAAATACGCTACTAGTAGTACATGTACGTGTACGTGTACATGTAGGTAGCCAGCTAAAGACTCGCGTGAATTATTATTATTATTATTATTATTTATTCTTCTTTTACTAGGGAATTCCCAACAGGCGTCAGCGCCTTTTTACAGGGAACCCTAGGTATAATTTGATGGATGAGCGAAATTCAGCTGGTGAACTAGACATGCGGCAAGCCGGTGGAAGTGTATTCCACCTGGCAGCGCCCAAATAAGAAATTGCACTAAAGCCATATCGGGTGTTAGCGGGGGGCAGAACAAGAGCAGCAGAGACTTGGCCACGGGTGGTGGCTGCAGTGCGAGCACCATGTCCATGGGCGCGCAAGGTAAAGCGGTCTCGCAGAAGAGGACTAGCAAGTCCATTCAGGCAGCGGTAAACAAATACATAGGTTTTGAAGTTGAGGCGTTTCTCAAGGGCGTACAAGTTAGTATGACTGTATAGAAGAGTGGTGGGAGTCATTCTATCCAACGAAAATATTCTCTTTAATGCTACGCGGCTGGCAGTAAGAAGCTTGTCATATAGGGTTTGTGATAAGCAATGAATATATGCAGTGCTGCCAAACTCAAATGTGGACTGAATGATCGATAAATGACCAGTGCTCTGCGAAAACCGACCTTAGGTGCTATTTTGGCGAAATTGAGTTTGTGCTGGATTGTTGACCCATGACCCTTTCTTCAACTTCTGGTGAAGTTTTAGGTGGATTGCATACATATTCAGTTAGATACAATGACAATTTCTTTGCACTTTTCCTTCAATTTTTGGAGGAAAAAATAGCAAAAATCCAGGATTTTATGCTACATTTTGGAACCAATGCTACGAGAATTCAAGCAGGATAATTGCAACCAAACTTTGCAGAATAAATCTGTATGTCATAATGCTCAAAAGGAAAGGTTTATGATGGCATTGGATCTTCCTGTTGTGGAGATACACATTCTATCTCTGTTCTGTGGATGGTGTTGCTCACGAATCTGGTGGAAGAGGTATTTGGCTATGTTTGAGGATATGCCAGCCGGAGTGATGCGTAGAGGCAGGTGCAAAGTAGTGAAGAAGCTAGGATCAATGCCAGGTTGAAGGATATTGATAGTTTTATCTGGTGCTGGTAGTTAGAACATCTAGTTATGTCTACATCAGCCGCACACATTGTTTCGTAATCAGTGATATCATGGCAGTCTCTTTTCCAAATCTTGCCAAACGTACTGTATGCAGCTTTGCCACCAGGCTTTGTGAACGCCTAGTGAACCAGCTTCTTCGTAGTGATACTGGGCAAATACATGTAGGTTGGTACTGGCTTGTTGTGTCCATGTGGAGCCGCAGGTTAAGGGAGGCCATGAACTATAGCATAATACTAGCATAGCATAATGCTCTATAAAATGCTTCAGCTCCACAACATCTTCCACAGGCAGTGCATTCCAGAGTTCTGTGTTGGACTGATTTCACTTGCACTGACAGCAGCCTGTAGATTTCAGCACCCAGGGCTTGATCCTGGAGGCACACACAAAGACTTCCTGACATGCATGTACATGACTTCCACACCAGCCACTGACTGTACTTCAGTAGTTCAGAGTAGTATTGTTGAGCCCCATCTATCACATCTCCCAGCATGCTGGACGCGCTGGGTAGCCTCACCACGTCTCCTGAGCACGTCTAGCTTTCCGCCTACACACAAGCAGCGATCTGTCTTGATCAGGACCTGCGCTGTGTGTGCTGTAAGTGTAAGCAAGGTTTCAAGTGTCACGCTCTTGAAACAGCACCAGTGCGGAACACCTACAGCGCTTGACAAACTTGTCACGCGCCTCCTGGATTGTAGACAGTACTTGAACCGATTTTTCTTGGTCTGCACTCTGTATATTGCCGGCATTGAGGGGCTGGGCTGGTGGCAGAACCGACGCCTGATCGAAATTCTCTTCCGCATCACCGTCCAGCTCGATCAGCATTACGTCCTGCGATTCCACATCCGACTCTCCTCGGCACTGCTGTCATCAGAACTGCGATTGGACCAGGCCAAAAAATGACTATTCATCGTGAAGGAGTTCGGCTAAAACCTCTGGGGAGAAGCCCACAGCAATTATTTGAGCTAGCGACCGTCTTCTGCTTCGTTCCGCCATGACTCTCACCTTGTAATCTTCAAAAATCGACAGATCGTGACGTTTTGTTCTTTTTCTCGAAAAAATTACGAAGCACCTAAGGTCGGTTTTCGCAGAGCGCGGGTCAAATAGAAAAGTCGTTTGCCAAAAATGCTGATATTCTGCTTTGCATGGACAAATGCTCCGACCTTCCTATTGACAGTTGCACATACTGCATCCACTTGGGTTGAGAAAGACAGATGTTCGTCAACCAGTATTCCTAAGTACCGAGCGTAAGCAGATGGGGCTATGGAAGTGCCCCGGCAGTTGACTGCGGTGCCAGGTGGCAGCTCCTTGCCCGGTCGCCTGAGCAGGACAAACTGAGTCTTGGACGGGTTTAACACCAGTCCCTTCTGATCTAGGTAGCGATCCAGAGCGGCAAGGTCAGCACTCAGCTGGGTTGTGATGATCTGGATGGACTAGGTTGATCGCTACCCCACACTGCCAATGCCAGCCAGACCGTTCACCAAAATGCACCAGGTTTGCAGTCTTCGCTGTAAATTATGTAACATTCTAGTTTCCGTCAGTGTAAACAGGAAGTCGTGAAAACCCGGGCTTTCACGACTCACTGGTGTAAACCATCCTGCGAGGCTCAGCATAAACACGTGACCAGGATTGCGGCCTCAAAAGGAAAATAATAATCTACCAAGAGTGAATAGGAGTTAGCAAATGGAGCTGTGCCGGTCTGCCTGAAACACAGAGTTAAAAAAAAACAAGTTCTGATATCAAGCTGTAGGAGGTGTCCAAGCGGATTCTGAAGTATTCTTACTCTGGGAAAAGTTAATTGTTGCATGATAGATTGATAGTACATGTGTCTAGCTCGGTGCCGGTGTATGCAGATTTCTAAATCATGGCTGAAACGCTTGCTAGGATAACCTATACTTTGTTTGTGGTGTACGGTCACGAAGCATGTACCGAACATGCAAGTTATACATGTATTCTCTCAATACTAGCGATCGGAAAATGGTGTATTTTAAAAGTGAAAATGGGCTCGTGCCTACCTTGCATCCACCTATAAAATGGCTACAGAGCAATGGACAATGTGTTCGGGCTACAACGGCATAATATTATCATAATACATGGTAGTCCGGAATAGGTTGATGGAATGGCATCTGTAAAAATAAAAAATAAAAAAGATTGTTTGACCGCGGCACGGTGATACACAGAATCGATACCAAAAAGGCACTGGCTAGTTGAGAAGTAAATATGCTAGTGAGTTTGAGTGAAGTTCGGAGCAGGTTCAGCATGCAATCAGGCGTGACCCGCTGAACATTTTCCCCTTACTTGTTGGACAATGTGGTGTAGATTTTGGACAGCGGTCCCTCGGCCAGCCGCGTGCGCATGCTTCGATGCCCAGTGCTGTTGTCCTCGTCGATCTCACCCAGCGGCGGAGGAGTGTCCATGCACAGCGACCAGTTGCCAAAGTTCGGCCTCCGTTTCTGTATGTGACCGAGTGTGAAGTGTCCAATCAGGCAGACCACAGCGGCCACGGCAACGATGATGAACAGGCCGCCGACATTGGACAGCTTGAGCGCATCCGTGTCGCTGGACTTGGCCTTGCACGGGTCGTTCCAGACGAAGCGCCGGTAGTACAGGTCCTCAATGTACCCGGAGTCCCAAGCGTTCAGAATGGCGCTGTTGATGCGGTTGCGCATCGGCGAGCTGCGCTTCAGGGCAAACGCGTACTTTTCCTGATGGAAGCTGTCGCCGCTGATTGCCACGCTGCAGTTCTGCAGGGACAGGTACTTTTGCGACGGCTCGTTGTTGATAAACACCTTGATCTTATCCGACGTCAGGGCACCAACGGCCTCACTGTAGCCAATATCAACGAGTTTGTTCAGGTGCTGAATGTCCTTGAGGTAGCGCCACGTTGCCGTGCCAGCCAGCGCCCCCACCGGCTCATTACCAACCTGTTGCAGAGTGCTGTAGGGTAAGGTGATGTCATTGTCCAGTAGGAACGACGTCATGTTCGCCGTGAACGCGGCGTTGATAACCATCACGATGAAGCAGGCCACGATCAGGTAGAATCGGCCGTAGTTGCTCGTGATCTTCTCCGCTTTCTGTGTGGAGTAGAACGTTGAGAAGGAGACCCACAGCGTTTCGGCCAGACCGGGAGAGACGTGCCGCAAGTGCCAATGTTCCAGGAAGTATAACATGCCACCAGAGAAGATGAGAAAGAGAAGCAGCATCAACCACACGCCGTAGCTGAACGGGTCGAAGAACTGCCACAGGCCCGAGCCGGAACCCGAGTCCGGTCGCTTGACGAGTATGCGATAGTTGCTCTGGAAGAAGGAGCTGGTGAAGTCGCACACCAACTCTCTGTACGCAGTCACTGTGATATCACCTATTGCCATGTCGTAGATCGTATCCGGGCGGCCGACTCTCTGCACCATCTCATCCCAAGAGTCGTTGTTCAGATGAAGTTCGTACTTGAAGTTCGCCTCTTCTGCAAAGTACTTGAGCAGATCGATGGCAAAGCCTGTGAATGCCGCCGAGCCGGTTTTGTTGGCATCGTAGAATATGAAAGGCTCGTCGTTCCGTGGTACGAGCACACGCAAGGTCTGCCCTTCGCTGGTGTCTTCGTCGTCCGGCGGTTGGAACCCGCAGCCATGCCACTGAACGGTGGGGGGCAAGGAGAGCTTAAGAATATCCGAGCTCTTCCACGAGGCCACGTTCGTGACATTGCCGTTACACTCCGCATTGAACACGGAGTAGTCGGAGTCACGAACCACAGCTCCATCGACATCAATTCTCACCTGTCCCGACGGACCGTTCTGTACGCTGTCGCTCAGAGCACTCAGTAGGTCTGAGCCGTTCACGAACGTCGGCAACTGGAGCTGGCCGTTGATGATGGGAGTGGTACGGAAGTCAAACTCGGTGCTGGCTGGTTTGGTAGATAACGTCTTGTTCAGTGCAATGGCATAGAGCATGGTGGCATCATAAGTCAGCAGGGCATACGTATTCACCGTGTTGTTCTCGTCGCTTTGAAATACATCCGGGTACCAGCGAGCCACCTCCGGCCAGTTCTGCCGCAGGTTCTCCATGGCCGACGAGCCCCGTTGGGCCGACGAGGCAAGGTGTGTGAAGAGCACGCCCTCGAACAAGCTCGCTCTAGCCGTGTCGTTGGCGATGTATGCTTGCAGCTCTGCACGTTCCATGATCAGCTCGGCAAACAACCAGCCGTACGTTGGTCCGACCAGGCCTGACTCATTGGCCACCTGCAGGACATCAAACATTTGCTTGTCCCACAGGAAGTTCACAATGATTCTTGTCCGCAGCTTCTTGATGTTGTCGAACAGGTCTTTCTTGATTTCGCTTGTTCCTACCTCTGGTGGAACGAACACTGTGGTGAGAATGACAATGCCATTCCGTCGTGCCAACGCGCTGAACTGCTGCGAGGTGCTGTGGCCGTAGTCCGTGTCCGTGACTAACAAGGCTACTCGCTTCCAGCTAAGCGCGTTCAGAATGTCGATGATAACCTTCGCCGTGTGCGTGTTGTTGCAGCAGATGCGCCGCAGGTACGGCATTCTGTCGTTGCTGTCCGGCCCGGAGCCCTGCGTAACGTGAAATGCCGTGGTGAAGGCGGCAGGTGAGATGAACGGGATGTTTGCTTTGTTGGCCAGCGGCGCCACGATATCCCCGATGGACGTCCACATTGGTCCGATCACGCCGGTCACATTATTACCTGCCACCTTCAGAGCCGCCTGAAACGTTGAGAACGGATCCAGGCGAGCAGGCAAGCTCAGAATGCACAACGTGCGCTTTGTGCCATCAGAAGACACCAGCATGGATGGGTTGCTGTTGACTTGAAAGGCCGCGAGACGCACTAACGCCTCCAGCTCAGTGCCTATATCGCCTCCACTCTGCATCAGTACACCCAGACTAACGCTGCCAGCGGGAAAGCTAACGGCAGCTTCGGTCGAATTCGCGAAGCAGTCTTTCTTCACGACCGTAACTTGAGCCACAACAACATTGGGAGCGCGTGTGGCAATCGTGAAAAGAACCGATGCCAAGATCAGAACAAGAGGGCGCTTCATTTTCACTTCGCAGTTTCAGAACCATCAATGAGAACCAGCGAAAAGGTGTTGCTTCAGCAGTCTGTGAATCAAAGAGACCAAGTGGCATTGTGGGCAGGTACGGTTGCTTTCTGACGACCATCTTTCGTTGTGTGGATGTGCATACCTTTGGTATTGCACACCGTCAAGTCATGATAGACCACCGGACTCAGCTCAGCAGATCAGGAGTCATGACACTGCACTGACCTGTGACTGCGTGCGTGTTTTGGAGTACCGGGACGTGCAGTCTTTTGCAGAGGCCCTGCTCCTGGATGAAACGTGTTCAAGCTCGGCATGCCTCCACACCGTTGGTTTTGCATTCCGAAATTCGGAATGCAAAACCTCACTAATACTAGTAATACTCCGGAGAGATTCGGTGTCACAGACAATGACAGCGGCTATTATGTAACACCGCGCGTCTGGAAACAGGATGTGGCACAGACCTTTCTCATTCGTATTGCAGATCTACGAGGTAAGTAGCGTGAGACTCAGGCCACATCGCGGTGAAAGGTCTCATGGATCGCCAAGGGCTCTTCGAGCGAGTATCGATATCAGCTGTTTGCATCATCAAGACCTGATCCACGGTACGGGCGGGGCTGGTGCCCGAGGATCGTCTCTTCGTAGCGGCTCTGGCCGGATCAGATGAGCACTTTGGCTTGAGGCAATGTGAGTGTGACCCATACATCTGGCGATCACATGCTGGCAAGGGAAGATGATACACCTGGGTTACATGGGTGGTTTTGCCTGCTTGGCCTGGCGCCTAGCGCCTGTCGATCAGCTGCCCGTCGGGAGCTGATGTGCCAGAACTGAAGTCAAAATACAGTACGATGGAATGCTAGTACAGTGCATGTCAGTGGGCGCAAACTTTCTAAAAGAACGGTTCGTGTACATCATTACATGTCACGCGTGACGAAGCTTCTTCCTCGAAATGACCAGAAGAAACGGACAACAACGACTAGCTTAATTCAGGGGCGTCGGAAGGTATTTTAGTGTGGTACGGTCAGCCATCTGAAGTGCAATTTACTCGTGGGGGAGTGGTGACTGAGCCGAAATTTTTTGGAATTTTAGATCCCAGATCAATGTATTTTGTTGATTCCCGGGGTATCTGGGGCAAAAAGTGGTACGGTCAATACCGTAGTGACCGTACCGTGTGCGACGCCCCTGTAGTTCTAACAACATCTCACTCACGTTGCCCTGCGCCGAGGCACTCAAGGTCTCTTTGCTGGAGACAAACATCATCGAAACAAAGTTACCAATCACTCTCCGGCACTTGCACATGTATCTTCAGGATACGGAATAGTCACCTAGTAACAGACTACCAGTACTTGCATCCTTGACCTAGCTTGGTCATGCACGTAGCGGCAGGAACACAACGACAACGTGTACAGCTGGTAGTAATATTCAGACATCTCCTGTGGCAAAAAGTATGATTGAGGGCTGGAGAATGTGCCATCATGGCACGTCTCGCATTATAGCATTACAAGTGAGAGTTGCAGTGCAAGTAACTAAGTAAACTAAGTAGTTACGGATATGAATGGCGCCGACACTATACAGTACACCTTTGCTAGCACATGACCATAGTGCAAACACTGAAGCGGCAGGAAACGTCAAAACGAATACAATCCATGTCTCAACGGAGTAGAGTTCAGCTGGAAACCAGTAGCATAGATCTAAGAGTACAACACAATAAGATAGCTAATGTTGCAGTGTTAGACGAAACATAGCGAGGATAGAGTTCAAAGTACATACATGTAGCGGGGCTGCTGCGCCGTTTGCCAATGGGCCCGGGGGGGACACCGTCACGGATAATGGACAAAACTGCCGGAATCGAAACTGTTTCAGGCTCACATGTGATGTATGGTGCAAAGGCATCAAGCCCACGATAATCTCCCATCCTCCCGGTATACACTACACTACAGTTACAGCTGCTGTATCTTGTTATGTACTTCAAAGTACATATACATTTCATAGAAAACACATGATCCCATAGATGTTGAGCCAGTGTTATAATCAAAAAATAATAAAAATCAGTATTGTACAGAAGTAGTTCTGCTAAATCTGGTGAACGGGACAATAAACAACTTTCAAGTATGTTCAACATTCTAATGGTATGTGTCCACCCAACTACTGTACTCTCAACATTCATAATGTTCTAAAAAATTAAAATAATAAAGACTGCATTGAATACGGCCGGAGCAACACAAAGCTGTAGGCTGTAAGCAGGGACAGGGAGCGGCCATTCAAACAATGTGTTCACGTAGATAGTACATGTGTATGGCATTCTTCTATTACAGTGTGCATTCAGTGCATGCTCTGCGCGTGGCATAATAAACGAGTTTGTACGTCAGTGCAGAATGCACCAATATTGACTTGTTGGACTCCTAGTGCTGAATCTTTTGCCATGGCTTCATCATTGGGCACAGGAAGTGTTGTGAGGTTCTTACGGTATAGCTTGGTGCTGGGGCTGACTGCGGTGTGTTCAATCAGGGACCTGTACACTGCAGTTGCCCACGCGCATGCCTTATACCTTTGCGACGTCTGGCACCAGCAACTCCCTCGAGTCCTCACTGCCAGAGTGCTGGGCGGTGAACGGGGATTGAATGGTGCCACCATTGTCCAAGCCATTCGCGGCATTGACCTCTCGTAGCTGGAACAAACCCGAGGCTGCGGAGGATGGCCGGGATTCAAATGCTGCACGACTCCCTGTTGAGTAAGGCTGCACGTCTGCTACACCAGAATCACCCCGCGATGAGTCGGACTCGAGCAGTGTTGTGCTGGACTTCTGACTGGACCTGGTGGTCACTGAACTGGCTTCATCGGCTATTCTCGCGTAGCGACGCCTCTTCTTGGGATAGACGAAGAACATGTAGATCACCTTACCAGCCACGCTGAGGACAACCGCAACGCCGACCAGCAGTGCCAGGGAGGTCAAGTCCTTGAGCGTCAGCGGCTTGATGTTGTCAATGCTGGTCACTTCAGAGCAGGTGCTCGGTACATACTTGGAGAAGAGCTGTGACACCGTTCCATTGGAGAGCATAATGCTGATGGCACGGTTGACCTCGTCCAGCCATGGCGCGTCCTTCTTGGCAGCAAACGCATATTGTTGGGTGTAGGTCTGAGCAGTGAGTGAGCAGGCCGGAAGAAAGGGAAACGACAGAAAAAGTACAAGTGACCATCAGTTTCTGGATTGTGTTTGTATATTTACAGGGATGAATTTACTGTCCTATTTTTGCATAGCAGTTTCTGCTACTACGTAGTACTTCATGAAATCACAATTGTGTAGCAGTCTTTGATTTTGATTCGCATTTTTCTTTAAAGGTTGTGTGTTTAGTACTGTTTGCCACCATGATTGTCCTTCTTGAGAGTGATACCTGAAAGCCCATTTGCAAAAAATTACTGAAGGCACACATGGCATACATGTGCACGCAGATTGAGAGTACCTGCACCACGTACACTGCACTGTATGCACGTAACCGTTACTTGACAGACCAGGCTAGGCATGGATAGCCTGTATGAATCACAATTTTCTGAGAGAAACGGGGACTTTTGAGTAGCAGTAGATCAATTTTCGATACAGGATAAATGAGCCCATTGCGCAATGACGTAATTTGTACCAGAAACACCCCAGACAGCCACCTCGGCATGGTCGTCTGGGGTGTTGAACAGTGCATTCCTGATCCCAGTGTACTCACATGCATTACTCACACCTTCCATATTTGGCAATGCGCAATGGGCTTATTCATCCCTGATATATCCCATGGTGCTTACAATGTTACCTCCACTAACTCCTGCTAACAGTCTGTTTTCAATTCGCTGGTCATCGAGTTGACTGTGTGCACCAGATTCGCCAGCCTAGTGTACACCATCATTTCAAAGTCGGAAACTCTCAGGTACACACCTCTACACTGCGGTACAGCAAGGACAAGTACTTCAGTTTGGTGACAAATGTGGTTAAATACTTGATCCAAGCGTTGGTCAACAGGGTGAGGTGTGCATTATCATCCGCTACAGGCTCTACTCCGACAAATACGGTATTCGAAACCTGACGTACCGGCAGCGGACAAACCCGTGTTAATTAACTGATGTACCCACAGGAAACCATCTGCTGCATGATTGTGTTCATTTAGACCCAATGCTGCTGTCTGAGGGTCACAGATCTCAGTCAAGGGATGCTATTGGCGATATCTATGTGTAATGAAATAAGCCTCTTGCACGGGCAATCACAGAACATGATGTCACTGACCTGTCACAACAACTAAAGAAAAATCAAAACAATAATTATTAGAATATACCCCCCTCCCCTCGGGTAGATTTGGTTCATTAAACTAACAAAGCAACAGGAATTCTGCAGAACAAATTGTACAGACATGAGCAATATTCACACAGAACTTTACTTACCATTCTTCCCGTTACATAAGTGTCACAGGCCTTGGCAGCTACGCCTTCCAGCAGTGGTATGTCAGATATGAATGCCGCTATGTGGCCTGAGCGCAACGCTGCCAGTATCGCCTCATCGCCGGTAACCGTGCGCACCTTGCGCAGGCCCAGCTCCTGCGTAACATAGGGATAGATAGCACCGCCGTATGCCGCACCCACCCACACCGACGGCAGGTCCGCAAACTCTTCCACCGACCTGGTACCTTCGCGCGTTGAGAGGTAGTACGAGAGCTGAGCGGTGTACGCCGCCGAGATAATGAGCACCACAAAGAGAACAGTACCACTGAAGAGTCTTCCCATCGGCGCCTGCAGTCCATCTGTCTCCTGTGTGAAGAAGAAACTGCTGAATGAGTAGAACATAGAGTCAGATAGCGGCACACCACTATTTTTTCGGAAATTCACACCGGCAGGGTCGAAGTAAATCATGAGAAGTCCGACTGCAATAAACATCATGAACAGGACCAGCCACACTTTCCAGCTGAACGGTGACACGAATGCCCAGATGCTCGACTGGACTTCGGTCGGTCGCAGCACCAGCATGCGCAGTCCCGTCAAGTACACGGAGCGTGTGAAGTTGCAGGTCTGCGAGCGCTCCTTGGTGAGCGTGATTCCACCGATGGCCAGATCCCACTCGTTGCTTGTGTTGCCGGCCAGAGCAACCATGGCCGTCCAGCTGGAGTACGGGTACAGATAGAACTGGTAAGAGAAACCGGCCGCTTGTGCCGCTCGTCGCATGATGTCCACCGCGATGCCCTC